CTCCGATATGAATGGTATTAACATGCATGATTTATACAGTTCCGGAGTCACTAATGAAGTACGATAAACAAACAACTTGTGCATACATTCACTCATAAACTTTTCATTATTATCTCAAGCGAAAAACAGAAGCTGTTACAATGGAATTACTAACTTCAAGCTTTATTTTTCTCCAGGTAATACACGTAGTGTCTGGGTAAAAACCTGGTTTTTTGTTTATGCCAAGACTATACTTCCACTTGTCCAACTTGTAAATCTTCTGCACACTTATTCTGCTGGGACGCTCCATTATATGAACATGCAGCACTTATATCTTCTAGCGAGAACAGGTGGGGATTGAGATTAGCCTCCATGAAGATGAATGTGATTTGTATATAAACTTATTCATAACTGCAAAAATGGTGTGTGCCTGTATATTCAGGAATAAATATTTTTATTATACGACAAAGGTTTGTTTGAGCCCACCCACGGAGCATGGTAACACGAATGTCAACAGTCGGTCGAACTCCATTATCCTATTCGACGTTCCTGTACGTGGCGACAGTTTTCTTTGGAAAAGAAAATCTTTCGACAAACAGCAGGAGGAAGACTTGCGCTGCTGGGCAGCCCAGACGCGAAACTGTGGTGGTTCCACAGAGCCGTCCATTTACCTCCAAGGGAGGTTCCACCAATGAAGATGACCCTCGTCTCGGCTAAGGAAGCAGGGTGATTCCTCCTGCTTTGGCACACTGCAATCATTAACCGGCAATCTGGCATTTTGGTTGGGCCAGATTGGGCATGTTTGGTTAGAAAAATGCTTCAAGAAGCACCCCATATGCGAAGGCCAACAAACATAGTCATCCAGAGCATACCGTAACTAACTGTCGGCACATCAGAAGGAAAATGTACTCATGAGGTTCAGCAATGGGAACGGTAAACCCAAAGAATGAGGTTGGAAGAAACAGCCTTGGCGGCTATCGGTAGGCCTCTGCTTCCCCCGTATCTGGCAGCAGTGGCGTCACCTAGATTTACGGCTACCAGAGCTTCTAACTTGGGTGTTACCGGCATGGAACACAGCCAAATAAACCGTCAGCGCAACATCCTCCGTTATGAAGGTTGGATAATAGCACTGAGACAATAAAAGAGAGTTCCGCGTTCCTATCAAGTCTTCATTACAAAGGAAATAGACACGACGACGCCCAGGCTGAAAACTGTAACTCAGATATAAATACAGAAACCACCCTGGGAAGAATACTGGCTAGCCGGTTTTGTTGAAGCTGACCAAGCAGTGACTGCTCCCTCTACCACGTATAACTCCCTGTGGTCAAGTAGCACCGAAGTATCCCACGCTTTGCGAAGCGTCTCCAAATGTTTTTACCTTAAGGCCGAGAGAAGGACGATGGAGCTATGATCCCTTTGCCCACGAGCTCCAAAAATTATAACCCTGCGAGAAACTTGGCTGTCTTCGGGTTTTATGGATGTCGAAATGAAAACTGACGATAGGCTCCTATTCAGGGGAGACGGAACACAAGGAAGGAGGTAGAGTGGCAGTGTCTGTAAATGGCTACCTCAAAAATCAACAGGCCACTGACATTACTGACTGAGCTTTCGGATTCCACATGATGCCACTTCGCGTCTAACACAGTGCGCAGCTGGTTGGAAGAGTCCATAGACCCTCTTCTTTCAACTCAGAGAAGAATCAAAAACTACCCTAGCTAATGTCTGCAGCGACAAGCATGGGGCGCGACCAGGCTGACAGAGTCGGACATTGTAAAGACCCAACTCGCGAACTAAGGTAGGACAGCACAACTCCACGCCAGACGTTCAGCTGAAGTCTACTAAGCACCACCTAAAGGGCTGAGATACACAGAGATTGGCGATAACTTCAGTCGCTAGGGATCGGGCGGAAAGCCATGGAAACTAGGCCATCTGCCAGCAAAAGGCGTTCAGCTTCGCACTACTTTCGGCAGTAGCAAACACGGTTTAGTAGTGCTTGATCTAGTAGTTACTGAACAGCTATCATGATAGGGATATCCCCCTTTGTCTTTAGCACGGAGAGACAAAATAAGTGGCGATGGACAAATATCTGTCGACAGCGTCACAACCCTAGTAATGTAGCACTGAAGTGCTATCATTCTATGGCACCTTTACCAGTGCTGTCAAAAGTAGTAGAAAGCCTGGTGGACGACCATATCAGAGAGCAATTCGATGAAAGGGGAGCACTAAGTGATGTTCAACGCGTATTCCGAAAGTGTAGGTCCTGGGTTTCTAACCGTCTAATGGCACGCTGCAACTCCTAGGTTCCTGTTCATGTTCTTGGCTTTTGACAAAGCCTCCGTGAAGGAACATGTGCCACACATCCTATCAACATTTTTGGTCCTATTATTCCCCACTCACCCCTTGGTTTGTAAATTTTGAGGTAATTTGAACTATTCCACTGATCAAGTGGTTGTTTTATTTCCAAACAATTCAAGGGGAATAATACAGTTTTTATGTTCACATTAAGCGAGACCTGAATGTATGAGGCCACCTTGGGTTTGCGGTGACTAATTTACAAGCCTACAGAACGAGGTTGACGGTAAATTTTAATCAACTGGGGCTTAGGAAGGTGTCACATACGGGTCAGAGAGAATGTAAAGTTCATAGAACGGAAGGCTCACGTGCGAATTTAATGTACAATTGACAGAATATTTGCAGATACTCCAGTCAGTCTCAGTTGTGCAACAAGAAAATAAAACTGGTAGTCCAAAACGTGGAAAGATTCTCATTCTCAGGCATAAAATAATTCCTAAACGTTAAAAATTAAAGACTGGTTTTGAACAGAGGTTTCTACACTTTTGGCTTCTCATACGCCATTCGCACACCCAAAATGGAAAGGCTGGGCATCAGCGGTCAGGTGCCATCCTCATTGGAGGACTATTTGGGCGGTAGAAGCCTAGGACTAACAGAAACCGGCAAATCAAACATTAGTTACAGTAGCTCAGGGAACGCCTCCGGAGTCTATCCAGTACTACAGTTCGTGCGCAAACAATTTGGTGTTCTCATCTCAGAACCCTTTCTGAAGCTCTACAAGAACTTTCATCAGGAAGTATATCTCGGCGTTTCAATGAACCCGGAGATGCATATCCCTTGAAAAACATTGAATCTGCCGTGGTACTTCGCTCAATAGATGTGATCCTTCAAATTAAAGCACTTGAGTAATTTAGCCGGCACTACTTTTTTCCAGCTAGAAATTGTTGAGTTACCTCCTGTCCTTTTTGAGTGGTGCTTTTACATATTCATTAGACATGACCATCATTTCCGCCAGATAACCTAAAAGCATAACAAAAGCACTAAACGTAGATTAAAGTGCACAAATTTTATGTGGTGTGAAGTTCTCTTTCCTTCAGACTGAGGATTTCCACCGCCTGGAATGAAAAGATGATTAAAAATTTTTGTGAGAAAATAATACCGGAGATTTTCCGCCGCCGATTGTTGTAACCGTATCTGTGAAAATTATATCCGGCTGTAAATCCGGGAATAAATTATTGTTATAATCTCAGAGGTTCACTAAATCACTGCACCGTCATACATGAAAAGAACTGTGAACCTCCCGGAGAAAGTTCGAAGGCACGACGCGAGGGTTGTTGCATGGATGTGACTGAAACAACAGGGGGATAGGTTTGAGGGTCTAGATCATTGCTGTCTTAGTTACAGTTGGTCACGTGACGACTTGGCATGGCCTTGGAGAAACTAAATCATTCGAGTTACCTACGGGGTGAAATCATGCCCAACTGTCACCACGGCATTCCTCGCGGAAGCTAAAACAGAATTACCCGTCGGGAGGGGGGTAGGGAGGGGGTCAAAGCTCGTGGGGACTCACACTCTTTACCTCCTCAGCTTTGTGACCATCGAAACTCATCGCCTGCCAAAACTGCAACAGCTCCCTACGTCGACAGCTGCAAGAAAAGTTTGAACAGCTCCACAACGACAGACGGCTTGTGCCGATCTAGTTAGATTGGAAACGGGACCGAAACAACAAGCTGATTCTGTGTCATTCCGACGCAGCCGCCTCATTTAGTGATACCATTATCGCAAACTTGTTGGACGTCTTCCATCTCCAGTTACCATACCACTACCAATATCATTATTATTTTAATTCCCTTTATCCCCACTAAAATCCTGTCTGCTTTCTGTCACCATTTAACCCCGTCAGTTTGATTTCCCTGCAACAATGTTTTCTCTCCCTTCTTCCTAGAAATCACCTGGGTCTCTCCTATCATCCTTCCGTTTTACTTCTCCTTTCGTTTCATTTCTATTCACTTTCCCGTCTTCTCTGTGATTATCTTTTCGTCTCCCTTGTATCCCCTTTGCGACCAGCTAGAATAATCTTCTAGTGACACCACGATGAGGAATTCATGTGTAACACACTCCCCGGACAAATCGTACACTTCCCAACAAATTTAACCAACACCAAACCACTCGTCGGGTTTACAGTTGCAATTTGGGAATTGTCCTGATGCGAACTTGACAGACACTGAGGTCAATCACTAATCAGTCTTACTTGTATCCACAAATACAAGACCAAGGAAGGACACAATAGCGCAGTCAGATGGAATAGTATATTTGCGAGGTTGGGTGAATATACCGATGCACTCTGACTAGCTGGCTAGAGGGTCGATTCCGAGTAGTGCAACGTAACACGACAGCGTGCCAAATGGGGTTGATGCTTGACTGTGTGCCTTTAGCTTAGTGAGTCCGATAAAACCATGAAGGTCAGGATCAACGTTAAATCTCGTCAAACCCTAGGCTATTGTTTCTGGAGAAGTGTGTGACGCTACTGCTACTCAATAACAGTCCATCACAGATCTGGGGCCGTTCATCATATTTAGAAGCGAAAGTGAAGAAATCAAGTAGTTAATACAGGTACGTTGGATATTAAGTGCTAGGTCACAAGTCCTTGAGTCTATTGAGCATGAATTTGTTCGTTCGTATCATTTTCACAGGTCTGCCATTTGGCCAACTAGCTGTTGCAGATATCCATGTATCCGCTTAACCCATATTTCGGCTTAGCTCCTCAATATTATGGTTAGTTCTTTTCTTGATTGCTCCATATGGAACGTAGGATTTGTTGGTATTGCTCCAATGGCAACTATGGCTATACCACCCCCACCGCTGGTCGCTGTCCCGCCGGTAATCCCAACGGCAGCCGCGGCGGTTGCAGCTACAGTTACCGAGACTCCTATGGTAGGTTTACGTGTTACAAAGGCCTCTATTCGTAGTATGTTCGAGAAAAGCCCCCAGTCACTACAGTTTTTGTCGGCAACATAGCCGAATGTGCTCCAGACCAACTTATTAAAACTCTCTTGATGGTATTTGGTATTCTGACTCACATTTCTCTTTAAGCGTTGTGGGAATATTCTCAGCTGGAAGCGAGTTCAAGGCGCATCTGGTAAACTCCAAGCTTTTGGGTTTTGTGAATACGAAGATCCTGAGTCGACAATGAGATGTGTCCGTCTCCTAAATGGATTTAAAGTAGGACCTAAGTCTTTATTGGTAAGTTGATTTTTTTTCATGACGTCCTGGGAAGGTAAAAGTTGATCCTAAGACAGAGGATTTGTTGAGTGAGTACAGAAAAAAGAAGGAAAAAGTTGGTGAAGAGGGTACTTTGGGAGCTACTTCTGAAGAGGTTGACCAGTCTACTCAACGCGATGATGAGACTGTGAAAACTGCGCTGGAAAACATTATAAAAGAAAATGCGACTTTACTCGAGGATGAAGGTGTGTCCATGTTTCTAAAGTTTCATATTTTAGGTGGTGCTAAAAAACAGGATCTTTATTTGGAAGGACCACGCCACCTAGTAAGTTTTCTACCAGTTAATGCTTTCATCGTCTTGAAACTACTTCAGTTTGAGCTGTCGTTGTGTATATATCATGAGCTTTCTGCTGTCATTCTGCGTGCATCTAAAAGGGTCGAGCTAGTCGCACTTACATCGGCTGAACTATAGACTGTGGCATACGCAGCGAAACATTCAGCAAAATATCGTTTTGATTTCCTATGGACGCTCCGATTATATTAAACTTTGCTTATATCATGGGGAGTAATGAAAAGTTGTGTGGGTGACTACAGCCGTGACAATACTATGAAAGCTACGTAGGTCTGCAGTTCTGACCGGTTTGAGTGATCTGCATGGGATTAGTGTTCTGCGTATGAAGGTTTGTCGCCTAAGTTGTATAAGATGAGGCCTCAACGTATCGCATAATTACAACGTATCTTATGCTTTGGCTTGTTGGCGTCTTGCTGACCTTAACCAGTGTGAATAAGTTTATACATTACTTTGGTGTAATTGTTTTGCGTTTTCATTCCTGGAATCAGAATGTTTAGGCAGGACCTTTCAGTTTTGTCTTACTCTTCCGTACAGAATCGTACTTTCACACACTTAAAACACCATGCGATCAATTTTGCTTTTTCCTTGATTTAATCGTACACCTTACGTGGTTATTTTTGTTTTCCAGACTATTGAGGATATGGATCTTGACAACGATCGTAAGGATCTTATAAACCGTGAGATTGAGAGCTTCCGGAAGCGCAACGAGGTAAAAACATAATATGGTATTTATTGGTGCAGATTAACAGTGTCAACTCATTTTCTGAATCCTTATTTTGTGTCTGAATGAGTATAAACATTGAGTCAGTTTTAGTTCATTTTAAAGTTAATGTAAGTTTCCTTCCTATACCAAGTAAATAAGGTCAGTTAGTGATAGCTCGGCCCATACTTAGTTTTTTTTCGTCTCAGCGTAATGGAAATCCCTTACATGGGATATTTAATTGACTTTTAGCATGGCGTCTGTCGTGTCAACCCTCAGTTGTGTTCCCATGCCAGTATCGGTGAGTCTCTTACGATGATATACTGTGCTATAGTAATCAAGAGCAGCTGCTCTATTTTCTTTTAAACTACCGGCATCATTGCTTGTTTTCCTTATTTTGGCTTTTGAATGTTATATTTTGAAATCGCCCGCTTTCTCTTGAGTCAGAAGGAAGATCAAAATGATAACAAGCAGCCGCGATCAAAAGCCTCAGATTCCGGACGCTCAGGGCCGACAAACATGCAGATATATTCAGCTTATGCTGTGAGCGAGCGTGTTGAACGTGAGTATCGTCGAGAAAGGGTTCGCAGAAGTCGGAGTCGCTCGGGTTCATTGACCTCAATCCGGCCACGTGGACCAATAACTAGTTGTTTTTTGACATCCAAAGATATCGATGAAGAAGAGGAGTTAATCAAAAAAAAGTTGGAGAAAAAATTACGCGAGAAAGAGGAATCTTATCAAAAGGTTAGCTTTCATCCTAATTAGTAACTATGCCGTAGTTTTATTGCTGATAATCAGGCTGTTCTGCGGAACTTTTGTAGGATGAAATATGTAGGAAATTTCTCAGTACAACTGCAAGTAGTGTAACAGAGATCTTGAGGTGATACTGTTGTCCCAGCGTATTTGTTGATTAGTTGATTTGAGGACGCGTTGACTGGAAAGTGTCGACTGCATGTTGTGCTGTGTTTCTGGTGACGATCTAGTGGGTCGGGTTCATTGAATATTGCTACGACTTTAAACATCCAGACCACAGTTGTTACGAATGTCCTGGAAGTTTAGTGTTGTTTGACTGAGTCATCAAAAGAATATATTTTAACATAATCCCTGGGTGTTTAGAAAATCAAAACAAGATGTTTCTAAACGTCTATGTAAGGTAGCTGGGATCACTGGTATATATTCTCGTATTGCTACGACTCATCTAAGAACATCTGAAATCATGGTTTTCTAAAATGTTAATGACGAATATTAATGCCAAGTAAATGTCACATGCTTGGTCTAGTATATTCGTTTTCTGTAACTTCATATAAACCAATGCGTTGAAGGATAGACAAACCAAGGTGTTTTGGAAAGTGTGTTCTGCCTGGCGAAAATTTTCGCTGTAGGGAGGAGACCATTAGTTGAGAGAGTTAAGGGACCTTGTTCAAAGTTGAACCCAGTAGACTAGCATGTTCATCCTTCATTACTTGTGGGTATCTCATCTCTCCATAACTGTTCTTTCTCTCGCTCACTTCTCGTTCATTTTAACATCTCTGCCTTTTTGACGTTTTATAGCTGCTGCTGCCTTAACGGGGTGGTCAAGCTTGTATTCTACGATGACACGGCAGGTCAGTCTATTTAGAACGCTTCTTCCTTGATCTCTTGAATCTCTAACTGCTGATATGAACCGATTAGCTTTCTCCAACGTCGTTTGTGTGGCTTCCGTGATATCAGGTTTTCTATTAAGGATCGAGTGTACTGCGCTGCAGTTAGCTGTTACGCTACATGGCTGTATTTGGTCACCTTTTCCCAAGATGCACTAGTCATGTCACGTGCAACGACAGTAATGTCGAGGTTAGACGTGGAATCTTTGATACCAGATGTAAGTCTAATCATGTTCAGACCGAGGAAAAAGTTAAAAGTGGCGTGCGTTCGTGAAGTCTAATCAGTTGGTCTAAGGCGTGTTAGAGAATAAATAGACTTTCCCGGTAGGGTTTCGAGTGACAATAGATATCAGTATTTGGAGACTGAAGGTGTCATGGTTCAGGATCAAACTGTGGTGCAGATGCATCCACGTATTACTTCAACCTTAGTCATCGTATCACATTTCATTATCGGCCCCCCGTCACTACTGCCGTTAAAAACTACCGTTCTTGCCTACTTTCTTATATTCCCCTCTTACATCTTGACGTTTTCTGTCTGAATATGCTTAAGTTAGGTGTGACAACGCGTATTTTTACGCAGTAATGACAGTTCCTACGATACTAACTAGATGACTTGGGTTCTTCACTCCTATATGTTTAATTTTTATAATGAGTGATTCTATTATATATTAATTGGTGTGCATTATGTTGAAACTAATCTCCAATGTTGGAAGTTTTAGTTACTGAAATTATCCACAAGATTACTTTAAAATTACTTTCTTATGATAACAGAAAAAGCTTTCCACGTATAAAAGAAAAGGCGACCTAATGTACTCTGAAGTAATCAGCTTCAGTTACTGAAAATAAGTAGTTTAAACATACTGCTAAATTTAAACCGTAATCATATTTTTTAGGAATCATACTGTTCAGAGTTTATTAGTGCACTGTATCACGTATTTGTCTTATTTCTTTTGTCTGCATACATAACATTGCACATTCGTTTGCTTTATTTCAGAGATTAAAACAATGGGAGGCTCGTGAAAGAAAGAAGGCTAATGAATATGAACACGAAAGAGAGCATGAGAAAAAACGACAACGTGAACTGCAAATAGAAGCGCAAAGGTTGAAGGAATTTTTTGAAGATTACGATGATAATGTTGAGGATCCTAAGTATTATCGGTAAGGTCTTACCCTAATTTTTGGTAACTATCACAATCTGTCATTGTGGATATAGGATGTCAGGATCTAAATAATCAGCCCCCAAAATGGTTGGTGTCAGCATTAGGCACATCGATTGGTCACTATAAAGTATCTGATTCAGTCCCACAGGCGCTCAGTCACGGCCCGAATGGCCTAGTGGTCTTTCTAAAACCATTGGTCTAGCTGATTTATCCAACCAGTTATTTATACGTTTTGTCAAGTTAATGTTAGGAGACTTCTAATTAAATCTGATTGGTTCTGAACATATTCGGGAGTTTCTGGTTTCTTAAGGGGTCTACAAGGTTAGGTATCGTGCCTCCTTGCAGTCACCTGGCTAATCGACCATGAACGTAACGAGTTAAGAGAAATACTTGGCATTCCTTTAAAGTTTGGATTTCCCAAAATGCTGTAACTAAAAGCAGTTTCTGAGCACAGTGACTTGTTGAGTGGAAATGAAAATGTTTAGGATGCGTTTTCCACCTTCGAATTTTCGCTTCAGGATTGCTCTACACCAATACTTCTGACAATAAACAGTGAAGTAATCAAACACATGAACCACTTCACTTACGTGGGTGGTTACGTTAGTCCTTGTGGGCCGATAGCGAGTAGAAGGCAGACCTGTATACAAATACTTGATTGGTTCCCACCAACTTTCTACACCTGTAGGGCTTGCGAGGATATCCAAATATTCCTAAAATGTTCAGTAAATTGTATATAAGTTCTCTCTTTCGTGGTCATGCGATATGCTCACTGAAGATGGAAGGTTTGAGTAAAATCAAATAGTAACCTTCGTAACCTCTCACACTAGACGGGGCATCACGTGATAAGTGTAGAAGCTAGGTGTATAGTCTCCGGCAATAGAAGTGTGCGTGAGGTTCTAAACCTTCATGAATGAAAGGGGATGGGTGCACATGCTACATATGCTTGATCCGAATCTAAACCAAAGTTACCTGAATTAGGGTTTTGTTTTAAGAGCATTAAAGGGTAGCTAGACCACTTACTGCAGCTACATGTTCACCAATGTGAACCGCATGCAAAAATATCGACATTTTGTCTGGAATCTATTCGAGGGCCGGAATCGACAGAGCGAAATGACTCAAAACCAGTCATCTTAGCTCATTCACATCCGTGCCTCCGGCCAGATCATAATATCACATATCCTATTAATATTTCTATTTCTTTTGTAATGTCTTCTACTTAAATACGCTGATGTCAAGTGTGGCGAATTCGACTGTCATGCAGTAATTTTGATAATATTTGAGACAAGTAGTCTAAGTTCCCTAAATCTATTCACGTGTGACTTTTAATTTGCTTGTGAGTAATATCGCTCCATATTTCTGTCGCTCTTTTGATGAAGCTAACGTCTAAAAAGTCGTCGCATTATAGCGTTACATAAAAACTTCCTGTTAAGTCAGTGTCCAGTGTAATTATTTTGTGTGTGAAATGTCCCTGTGAGAACATTAAGCCTCTCAAGATTTTATATATATATATATATATATATATATATATATATATATATATATATATATATATGTACGGGGATAAGAAAGTTTGCAACATGGCACAATCTCGCAACTCGTCAGCTTAATCTGTTACCACGTATTTTTCAAAGTTATTCATTACAGTCCTGTTGCAACCTTATTTTGTCCCTTTCAGTAAACTAAACTTTCTTAAACATTATTCATATTTCTCTGTTTTTGTCTTGTTTTCTGATTAGGCACTTCATTTACCTTCGTATTTTGACTGCCATTTTTTGCATTCCACTCAAGTGTTAAAATTCCTAATACAATCTACGCATCGCTTTTATCTTGTACCCTTTTTAGAGGAAGTGCTCTGCACCAGCGTCTAAAAGATCGTGAAATTGAAGAAGCCGCAGATGAACGTGATCGACAGAAGGAGATTGAACAGCTTGAGACTGCTCGCCGCAAACTAATTGAGGAGGGTGATCCAAACGCAGAATCAATCATTTTTCAGATGGAACAGAAAATGCAAGAGCATCTCAGGAAGTGTTTACAAGTCAGTGGAGATGTGTCCATGAACTCCGACGATGGTAATCAGTGCGCTGAACCGGTTAGTGAAAATATGAACGCTGAAGACGAGGTATGTTACAGCATATTGTATGATCACTTGAATCCAATAGTTTACATCACGTAGTGATTACTATTATTATTATCATAGCGTTTATTCCCACTGGTGATAACGTTTATTCTTCTGAAAGCACTTGGCATTAGTTAGAGTCAAGACCATTTTTACTTCTCCTGATGGAAATGGTTTTCTGTTTGCTGTTGATTAATACGCGTAATTGTGATGGGTTAATAACGAGGTAGCACTCAGCATAATTCACAGAAAAAGCTTGTCTTCAGTATGCCTGTGTTTACTGGCTGCATGAATGGTTAAAGTAATAGCAAGTTGTCAATGTGATTTGAAAACAAGTATAAAAATATTTACTAGTGAGTAATGTATTTGGATATGTTGTACAATTTTCGCTTTAAAAGGCCTCTTTTATTGCTAAAATTTCTACCATATGCTAGAGATCCCACTTAAGTAGATTTAGTGTGAATTAAGGCTATTTTAGTGTGTTATACAGTAGTCCACTGCATTTTATGTCATTTAATAGTGTGATACTTCAAGACATGATATTTGTTTAATTATGTTGGATAATTTTTCCAGCTGATAGGAATCCCCGACTACTGTGGAAGATAATTCCATTTAGAGTTAGTATAATTTGTAAAAATGTAGCACGTCTGTTTTTAAAAGCAGTAATCTGATGTCCCAATATGGTCCGTTAATTTTGATGTGCGACATCAAGTCCTGTGACAACTAAACTTTTGGTTTGTGTGATCGGTATATTATGATTCTTTCTTGTAGTCCAAAGACTCCGATTGTGTGGTTAAACCAGTTGAAACCAACAGCTTGTCACCAGCGTGCAACGGTATTACTTCGGAATTTGAACCCGCTGCCCCCGAGGAGACGACCGTCAGTTTACTAAAGGATGGTTCAAACACCTTTTTGTTTTCGATGAGTACAGGTAATTGCGTTTTAATTTTAATCCATCTGTCATTGATCTTGTTATATTTCAGTGCTTTTCATTCATAGTCACGCCTGATAATTTTGAGGCACACTCAGCTGTTATTCAATTCTACTATATTTCATCACATTTCATAGAGACATTATTAAAGCATAACTCACGAATTCAAATAGGCTTTAACATGCCACGATGAAGAAAATTGGACGTGGTGATCCCAGCCTTGTAGGGTGAAACCGGTAAGTTGTTTACGTCTATCCAAAATCTGAATACAGCTGGTAAAACCGGATGACTCCATTCACTTGCCTCTTCAACGAAGCAATGAGTTTGTTTTTGTCCGGCAGAGATTATTGTTTGGGACGTAAGTTAATTATGATAGTTGTTATTATTGTTGTTAGCCCATGATTAGTGTACAGTACACTGGCATGGATACTAGTTCTTACCTAGACGCACTTGCTAATGACTTCGCTAAGTTACTAGTAAAATGTTTTTAAACTTTTAAATATGCATACGTTATACATCATAAGGTCATATGGGGAAAAACACTCAGATACTAATGAAATCCACCGTCGATTAATTGTTCCATTTCTTAATCAACTGAAATTTGAGTTTGTATGTGAGAGTAAATGTTCACATTCAAACTATTTCAACTTGTCATAATTATTCGTGACCAAATGTTAGTACAGATTTTGGTGTCCATCAGCCACCTAGTCTTTTACTGACGTGACAGTCACAGTTAACCTACGAAATGGCTACCTTACATTGCAATATTTTCATTTCTGCTTATAATTTGCAAGTAGACTTTGTGCTAATGCTGTTTTTCAGTGGTATTACACTGTTTATTTGTGAATACCATTTTACTTCTGTAAGCATCGGTCTTTCGTTTGACCTTATGTTGTGGGCGTTAAATATGTTCACCTTATGTTATTTCCAGTAAATATCCTCTTAGGGCTTTCGTTTCACGATATCAGCAACAAAATAAGGTTCACTGTTTTCAATATACCACTTCAATACTCAAATGCAAACCTCGCACCTCGCCTTACGTTAGTGATTATTATCTCACATTCTGTCATTCATCCCGTTAATGAGAAAACCTTCTATAAACCTAAATATTTGCCTAAAATATATAATATTGCGTAGCCGGCCATTGACATTTTACATATATTATAGACATCTAAATCTTACTGTGCATTTTTAGTCAGAAAACCAGTGGTTCTTGTATACTGATGCATTCATAATTTTGATTCCTTACTGATTAGTTGAACCAGTAGTTCGCAAAACTGCCTCAGCATTCGCTGATGAGGAGCAAGACGATAAACCGAGAAAACATGGTCTTTCATGGCTACCACCATCGGCGTTAAAAGCTAGTTCTGTGTCTAACAATGTAAATGCTTCTGATTCTGGTCAGAATGATTCAAACAACCTCCCTCCTGTTTCTGCCCTATCCACGGAAGAAAAGAAGGCTATTATCAAAAAAATTATCGAGGGAATCCCAACTCATAAAAGAGAATTATTTGCGTATCCTATCGAGTGGGACATGGTTGATGCCGTAAGTATAATGTACTGTTGTATTCGCCTATTTTGAATTATATTTCATGCCAAACATTATCAGTAGTTTTACTGCTGATATTTGTTTATGTCAGAAATAAATTGAATTGGGATGATATTATTATTTGTCCCTTGGGTTCCTAGTGGAACATAGGGCTTCACTAGCACGTCTCCATTCCACTCTGTTCTCTTCAATCTTTTGAACCTGGCTCCATGACTGCCCAGAAGCTCTCATTTCTTCCTCACACGATCTCCATGTCACCCTCGACTCTGACTCCCAACTCATCGTTTCCCATCTGGGTTCCATGCGAGAGACTAGCCTGGCGTATGTTGTCCCCACATGGTCTTCTCAGTGCATGCCCAATCCATCTCCGTTTCCTTCTGCATATTTGTTGGGCGATAGATTCTTGGTTGGTTCGTTGCCAGAGTTCCTTGTTCCTTATTCTTTCTGGCCATCTGATTTTCAGTATTGGGTGAGCGTAGGCGGCAGTTGTTGATGTGATGTATGTCTGTAGTTTGTTGGAAATGCTTTTCGTAACGCGCCAAGTTTCTGAACCATCACATAGAGGCACTGAATTGACATTGGTGTTGAAAATCCGGATTTTGTCCTTTATGCTGAGTGCAGATCTCCACACTGGTTTCAGGTTAATGAACGAAGGCCTGTCTTGCTTTTCCGATCCTGGCTGCTTTGACGTCCTCATCTGTGCCGCCTGTAGTTGAAACGGTGCTGCCTAGATAGGTGAAAGAGGCTACTTCCTTTAAGTTTCTCCTGTTGATGGTGATTGGAGCTTGTTGTTGTTGGTTGGGTATCGTCATCACCTCTGTCTTCTCTACATTCACTTGAAGTCCCGTCTTCGCTGCCCTGCCTCTCCTCTTCTGTCAACTTGTTAGTTTTCGCTTGTAGATTTTCAAGTTCGTGTGACGCTAGACATAAGTCATCTGCGAAATCCAAATCTTCTAGGATGTTTTCCCCGGTCCAGCTTATCCCCCTCTTCTCGCTCATCACTGTTTGTTGCAAGATCCAGTCCACCACAATTAGGAAGATCATGGATGATGGTAGACAGCCTTATCTTGCTTTTCTTCCCGTCTTCACTTCGAAGGCATCACTGAGCTTTCCATTGTGAATCGTTTGGCATATGGTGTCTTCATATAGCTGTTGGATGAGGTTGCTTTGTGTCACTGTAACAGTAGTGTTGAAGCATCTGGCTGCCAAATTACTTCACTGTCAACGCTGTCGAAGGCCTTCTCGAAGTCGATGAAGTTGAGGTACAGACTTGACTGCCATTCTACTCTATGTTCTATGAATGATGCGTAGTGTAGCGTAGCAATTCGATCCATACATGATTTGTTCTTCCTGAAGCCAGCCTCTTCCGGTCTTAATTTTGAATCCAGCGCACCCTTTATTCTTTCCAGGATGATGGGGCTTAATATTTTTCTTGGGATGGGCAGGAGCGTGATTCCTCACCAGTTCTTGCAAAGACTTAGGTCTCTCTTGTTTGTGAGTTTGACAAAGTAGCCCTTCTTCCAGTCAATGGGCAGTTACTTTCTCTTCTTTCCAGACCTTCTGCAATAGTGGTATGAGCATGTCCTCGGTTGTCTCTGCGTCTGCTCTCAGTGCTTCTGGTGGGATTCCATCTGGTCCTGCTGCTTCCCCGCACTTCAGCAGCTTTATGGAACTCAGGGCTTCGACTTCTGTTGGAGGGTTTGTGTTCACTTGTAGTTCTGTGGCTAGGCTGTAGGTGGTAGTCCTCGACGAAGTGCAGGTGGTGGTGGTGGTCGATTCAAGAGCTTTTGAAGTGGTCAGCCCATCGTTTCCTTTGTTTCTCTTCTTTAGTAATTAGATTTCCTTCATCATCTTTTACTGGTTTCATGTGTGTTGATCTCTACCCTCCCGGATAGTAACCTGGTTATTTGATGCAATGTTGTCAGGTCTCTCCTACCACCAGCCTGTTCTGCTTCACTTGCCAGTGCATCGTAGAAGTGTATTTTGTTTTTGCGTGCACTCTTCACTTCTTTATCCAGTGTTTTATACATTGTGCTCAGTTCCTCTTGTCGTTGAGCATCCTTGCACTGGTTTATCTTCTGCTTCACCATCCTCCTCTCCTCTGTCAGCTTCCATCTGTCCGTCGAGATCCGTTTATTGTCCTGTCTTCTTTCCTCTTCCTTCCTAATACGGTTATGCAGGTTTCGTTCCACATAGCTTTCAAAGAGTTCCAGTGTTCATCCACATAGGTTTCTTCAGGGATGTTGCTCAATATCTCCCATTTTGTCTTAATGGCTGACGTGAAGATGTCCTTTGTAGTTTCGTCCTTCAGTTTCTGTTCTGGTTGTTGAACTTGAACTGTGGTCTATCGCCAACTTCCTTGAAGGCTTTCAACTCGATTTGGAACGTTCCTTGCACTAGATAGTGGTCTGAGCCTACATCTGCTCCTCTTCTTGACCTTATGTCAAGTAGACTGCGTCTCCACTTTCTTGAGATTGAGATAAAGTCGATCTGATTCTTAGTGTGTCCTGGTGAAATCCATGTCGTTCGCTTTGTGGATATCCTTGTGCTTGAGCACACTGCCTCCAATCACCAAATCGTTGAATGCACAGAATTCTGCAATCAAATCTCCATTCTCATTCATCATTTCACCTAGCGCTTCTCGACCCATGGTTAGTTCTCTTCCTGTGTTGTCTGCTCCCAGTTTGGGATTCATGTCACTCCACCCATTAGAATTTTGATATCGCCAACTTGAGTGGTTTCTTGTCCAGTGTTGATTGCAGTTGTCTGTAGAATTCCTCCTTCTTCTCTTGCTCTGGGTTATTTGTTGGTGCACAGCGTAGCATTGTATGATTGTGACCTTCCTTCCTTTTGAGTTGAATCCATCTTGCTGTCATCATCCTGATCCTGCAGGAAAAGATTGGTTCCCACTGCATGAGGGAGAGTCTCCGATGCTCTTGGGGACATCATGATAGACACTCTTTCCGTGTGCTCGTGGTTGTCGTCTGGGCGACAATATCGGAGTAGATTATTGATTCTCCATTTGACAATTTGGAGAGTCCACTTCCATTCCACCTGCTTTCGCAGATCCCTAGCATTTTTGTGCTATACCTTCTCATCTCTTTTGCAATCTGAGCAGCCTTGCTAGGTTCAAACAATAGTGCGGACATTCCATGTCCTCATGTTTACTTTCGCTTTCATCGAGAGAAGACACGTCGGCCGATTGGCTTCCCGAAGGCTTTCACCAACCGTCGTCATTTGGTCTTCCCGGTTTCAGCGAGGAATAGGTTTGTTTTTAATTTTTATATTTTGTGTGTGCTTTGAAGTTTCTGTAGCGGTTGGATTGGTTTTACGGGGTAGGGTTGCTAGCCTTATGTCCAACCCTCCCTCCTTATCCGGGCTTTAGTACCGACTAGTAACTAGTTAACCAGGCGAGGTTGGATTGGAATGATGGTTAATGCAAATTAACATTTTGATATAAAAGCAGATGGATCTGTTAGTAAGTGCAGTCACTGAGCAACAACTAGGTTTTCGTTTTCTTATTGACCTGACATTCTTGTATAGTTAGAAATGATACAGCCTTATCAAGGTATCAATTTTACGTTTTTAGTCTGATTCTTGTTTCATCCAACTTTTTTCCAATAACTGGTTGTGAAAATTTTCGAATACTTCATCTTTTACAGGACTTCGTCAACTCTCGGATAAAGCCTTGGGTCGATAAGAAGATTGTGAGTTATATTGGTGAAGCAGAAGCTACATTATCCAACTTTATTTGTGATCAATTACTTCATCATAATCCACCGGAACGTATTCTTGCTGACATAGCCATGGTAAGTTGTAGTGTATTATAGTTAACTGATGTCATTTTTTTAGTTTTAGTAGTGATCGTTTTTCTACTGGTTAGTGTTAAAGTAGTTTTAACATCTTCGTACTTCAGTCGGTTGTTGCTCGATCCCAATGAAGAAGTAAACGCTAGGTAACACAACTGCAACGAAACTTGGTCTGCTGGCGACTAATCCCGTTTGACCACCCAAATGACTTTCCTATAAGTCTGTACACTAAAGTTTACGGCTAACGCTGCAACATATATTGAATACGCTTGATTATGAAAGTCATTCAGTCGGTGGTAGAATTCATCTTTTTATTTGCATCTGAACTACAATCCGTTAGAAAGTAGGTAGAGATGACCAAGAGACATCATTTCTCCTGACAGCTTATTGTAACCGAACTTCCCAGCCTAACTGCTTTGGTCTGTGATATAGACATGAATGATATAATGCTCCGACTCGATACCATTAACGATAGAACAGTAACTTCTTAACACGACATACAGCTGACATCAGAAGAAGGCAATGAAATTGAAAGTATGTTAACTTCAACCTAATTGGTGCGATTATAGCTTAAAGTTTAGTCAGTTATATATCTTTCTAAGGGCCTTGACCAGTGAAAACGAAATACCATATTAAAAGTGTAAAATGAACCAATTCGTGTTTAGTATCTTAAACTGTAGTAAAAATAAGTAACTGCATGGAGCAAAAACGGTGCGAATTTTACAATTATATATATATATATATATATATATATATATATATATATATATATTCATTTTTTAAACATCAGACATCCCCAAAACCAACAACATACAGCTGTTAACGAAGATCCGGTTGGTAGTGCAGCTTCAGCGTTAGCGCACCAAAAAAAGTCATGTTGACTTCTCGAGGCGCACGGATAGGCGCATATTGGGCACTTTCCAAGCTGATAGTTGGGTAATTTATTGGAAGTGCTTCAATGGATTTTTATCTGTGTATTCGCGATATGGCATTTATCAATGGCAATGAATTTAAAGGTCTCAAGTAAATCCATCGGTGGTCTAATCGTCCTGGTGCTAACGTTAAAGATGGCAAGCTTAAATAATAAGCGCTATTTCAGGATAGCTGTGTTATACGTTCCATTGTAAGAGAGCTCTTTGAAAGCAACTATTTAGCGACTAAAATCGGTAAATTGTGACAATTCCAAGCAGCTAAGGAAAATAAAGTTTCGTAGACACTTTGCGAGACGATGATGAAACAGTTAATCATCTAAAAGCAAATACAGTTGGACTATAAGTTGGTAATTTAATCAGTTTTGTCATTTTCCAAGAGGTCCGTTAAGTTCTACTAGGTCTTCGTTGTAGCTGCAATACCGTTGTTGGTGTGCGTTGACTTACTCTCTGTGTTCCGTGGTCGAATCAGGTTTTGGGACACCACTTTCCAAGCGTTTTCACTTTGAGCGTAATTCATACACAGGCGAGGTTAGCAGTTGGGTCCCTAAATTTATAGGCTAATATAGTAGGTTTGTGCGCCATTTATCATCTCTGTATCTGCCATTTTGATTACAGGTGCGCGGCATTCGCATTCTCAGGTTTCGTATATCTGATAGAAAATGACACGAAATTTTCAGTTGCATATTCATCCTGAACTTATACTGATTCTATACTGTTAATATGTATAGTGTTTAGTGATCTTAAGAAATGTTATCTTAAATCCTCATGTCTGTGTACTGATATTTATTTATATAGTTTTTGCGAAATGCCCTAGAATTAGAGATGGATATTCACTGGTTTTGCATATTAAATGCTGAGGAATCCGTAAATCGTATCCCATAAGATCAGCTTTTGAATAAAATGATAACAAAATGCAAAAGGCATCAACGCATGTTCTGTTGTCTAAAGATAATTAAAAAAGTTAGTTGGATGTACTTTCTTGAGTTTATTAGTTCTGCACATAAAGCTTTAGCTTATTGGTTGTAGGAGTTGAAACACCATTCTACCTACCGAAGTGTAGGCAGTCAAGTAGTATTGTGGGAAACGAAAAGACAGACGCAGAAAGGAATGTTTATTATTGACATCATGAACAGTAGTCTTCATAAATTGTACACCTTCCACTGAGACAGTCATTTGAACAATGTGCTTCATTTCCGCTTCTGCTTCTATCTCGATTTACTCTTAATACGTCCACATTGTCTCATGCGTGTCTCTGGGCAGAATCTTTACCCATTGCTGGTAATTCCCTATGATTTCTGCCGCCCTCTCGACATACAATACTTATATCCATTCTAATCAGCAGCGCCCACTACAGTATCATTAGCCCTGCAACAATAGGTATGGCTCATTTCCTACTGCACAAATGTACACAAGGTTGCTGAGTGTATTTCGATTAGATGTGCACGGTTACATGGAAAATTGTATTGGCGAGTCAGATGCAGACAACTAAAGTATTACATGAAGTTCCGATTTTTCACATTGGTAGTTAATATCATTTTATGTCGCTATTTCGTATTTAAATGCGAACAAATGAAATCGTATTCAAATCAAAACTCCCTAATAATACAAATGCTAACTGCAGTATATAAAGTAATGTAGTTATTTTTTTTGCGCACGAATCGCGAATAATTGAACTGTCAAAAACTAAGTTTTCCGGCAAATGAAATGGTGAACAGATACGTCTTCATAAAATCATCATCACCAGTCAGAACCGTATTTTCGATTTTAGAGTCCATATAACTTGAATAGCATTTCGCGTCTACCATTGCTGCTTTTTGTTTGGGAAAGTGGTAATCATTGTGGTCCATTGCACTAACATTTGATCAAGTCACGATGCTTCGAAAAAAGTTAATTATCATTCATGTCCACTTTGTTGACTCTCTGCAACCAATCTGAAGGGTTCAAAAAATTTTCCATCAAAGTCGGTATACGCCAAAACTTGTAAAAAATATTTCGAGTGGAAATTGGCCTTTATTTACATACTCTAGGTGAGTCATTCAGTGCTGAGAGGATGAGTCGAATTTATGACAACTGATTAATATGCTCATAGGCTGTTCAAAGTAAAAAGACTTGAGGTCTCAATTGACCGCTACTATTTTAATATAGTGATCGAGCTTACTAGCTGCAGTGGTCCAACAAGCTATACTGTTTAAAATGATTGTTCATTGAGCTTCTACTCCATCAGAAAAGTTTGTTGAATGGTGGCAAGAATGAAAGCAGTTACCTTATTACGATTAACTTTGCTTGTTATGATGGTGTAAGAGGGCAAAAACCTACTGCACTGACTTCGCAGAGTTTGTGGCAGTATTATTTCCTGTTGAGTATCTCATGCTGACCAATATTAGGCAGATGTCTTCTAAGCTCCGTGGCTACGCAGAACTGACCCAGTTGCTAATTCGGGCACCTCACATCAACCGTAAAATATTCTCTTTCCCTTTATCTTCTCCTTTGTCTTCACTTGATGATATCAGTATTCAGCCTCTTACAACTTCTTATGCTGAAACCATTGTTAACGGTCCAAGCATTTCTAAAAAGCATTCCTCATCTACTTGGACCCCGCTGTTGGTATCACAATGTAGCTCTCAAAGTTCGGACCCGGCACCAAATCGGACAAAAAGAATCCATCACCAGAACTCTGAAATCTCGAGCTATAGATGCATATTGTGTTCCTGAGACACACATACAGCATCCGAGTGTGGCTATTCACTCGACCAATGCAGTGAATTTTCAAAATCCGCATTACGAATGTCCGGAGACTCAATAACCAATTCTCGTTGGTGTAACAATAGCATTATGTTGCAGAGCGGAAAGTGTTTCTCTCTACTGAATACTAGTTAACAGCCGTCAGTACTTTCTGGGTGGATGGGAGAGTTGTGGGGCTTGTCGATGCCTATTCATAATCTCTGCCTACACGCCAACTGACTGCGGTTCAGTCGATACAAAGGATTAATTCTATCATAAATTGTCAGTTTTCTTGCATAGAGCAAAGCGTTCAAATGCAGTCATAGCAGCAAGTGACTTTAACACTCAAGTGGGAAAGGTGAACTAGTCTAAATGGCATCATGGAGGTATCTACAAAATCCCATATCAACGAGCCGACGACGGTGATCATCTCTTGCAAAGTTGCACAAAGCACTTTAAAGAGCGGGTTAACTAGCCTACAACCTCGTTGTTTGCCCGGCATCCAGCCTGAACCCAAAAGGAAAGGGGTTGTTGGTTCTCCATCTCTCCTCAAAGTTGAGAAGACCGTTTCCAATATGAAACAATGCAAGCAGCAGGACCCGACAGTCTTCCATTTTAAGTTTTCAAGGATGGAGGTAGGAAGTTACTGTTTAAAGTAACGGAGGTACTAGGTAGTATGTGGGGATCAGAGTTAATCCCATCAAACTGATCTACTTCACTGGTTATTTCAGTTTATTAGTAAAAGAAGTCCCGTGACGACAACAAACTCGAAAAGCCGTATAGTTTTCGGGTCTGGACTCATCCTATATTGTTAGATTTCCAACCTCCTACAGGTTTCTGAGCAGAAGCATGTCTACTTGCGCTCGACGCTTGCTATGTTTCTTGGTCTGAAGGCAGCACTTTACTTTATCTGTCGAAGTATTGTCGTAGTTTCTGACTTTGAAAAGAATGTTGGACAAGTGTGGTGCTTATTAAATCTCTGCTGGAATTTACCCAGCTGTGCAAAGGCTCGCAGTAAGTTTTTGTTTAAAGTCATCATACCCGGTGTGTTACAGATGTTCGCTATCACCATTCTTGTTTAGCTTCGTTTTGTTATGCGATTCGCATTGGGTGAGGTAAGTTAAGTAGGTTGATGATATTGTAAACCATCATCGACTGCGATAGCTTGAAAGTGTGTTGTGTGTGCCGAGCCAATATTAGCTGAATTAGAATTGTGTTGAGGAAATGCTGAGGTTAGACAGACCACGACGCAGTGTGACCCGTTTAAACTGCATTGTTTTTTTTTTGGGGGGGGGGGTCTGCTAACGACAGAAATCAGTATTGAAGGCCTAGCGATCTAATTCAATATCGGTCACAGTTTTGTAGATGTATACACACTTAGTCATCTTTGAGATTTTGAACTTTTCATTAACTGTCCTTTCTCTCTGCTCTTGTACACTTTTGTTTACTTGAAGTAAAGATGGTCTTGTTAGGGTTAACTGAAGGCTTTTTTCCTATCCTCTTGTTTCTACCTCAGTGTAGCTAAGTAGGACTGAAATTATGTATATAGTACAACGATTCGTAAAGCCTTGTGTGTTTGGAAGTTGTTGGTAACGTATGAACGACTCATCACTTTCTTTGCATTGATTTATATATGTTTCTAATGTGTTCTCAGAATGCATTTCCAGTCTCAAAGTGGCCTTTCATATTCAGTTCTTCGTAACGCAAATCGCTCTACTGTGATAGGTGGGAAAAATTCTTATAGGTTTACATGTTTTATAGTCCGTTGAATCGATTCTGGGATTCTTTCTGGTGTTCAGCTGAGTCATGGATTTGCCAAAGATGCTTACCTGGTGTTCGATCTGGGTCTCTGTGTTACACTACCTTTGTGTCAGTGTTTGATAGATACGCATCTAATCGCTCAGTAGACTTTTTGTAGCCTTCAGTGATCATTTTGATTTGGAATATTTTTCGAACGTAATACAGGTAAAATGCTTTCTTTTTTCAGGTTTTGGATGAAGAAGCAGAAGTTTTTGTAGTGAAAATGTGGCGCCTTCTAATTTATGTGATAGCGGAGAAGAAGGCTGGTCTAAGTGCATAATAACGCACCCAGATTACTTTATTTTGTACAAATCTTTTTTATCTTAATTTGTATAAATAAACTGTATACATGAGTCGAGGCTTTAACTTTTTCTTTTCAAAACTTGTGTGAAATATTTTTCTGAAATGATTCGGATGCAATTAAAAAACCTGTCATTTCGATATTATTTATGCTTTTATCACCTTTGGATTATTTTTTAAAGTAATGGGTCAGGATTACCTTCCCTCTTTAAAGATATACTCTCAAATATGCTTTATCATGACAAGCATTTTTGACCCAAGTTTCAATTTTACCTGCGCTTAGTGAATGATCAGAAACATGACTGTGGTGTCCTGACTTCTATGTAATCTCATATTTGTATATATTATACACGTTATGCAGTAGTGCCTGGTCGTATGTTGATCTTGATGATGATGGTATATAGTTTCGTGAATATGTGCTTAGGCTAAGATGAAATATCTCACAAAATTTCTGACAAGTAAACATAGATCATGTGGTATGGCTATGTCAAATATATGGAAACAATGCAGCCACCCATCCCTTTCATTTAAGAAAATAAATGTGAGCATGCAAGCTGATTTGCAGGAAAAGTCAGTTTGATTGCAACAGTAGTTGCTTTTATTTTTTACCACATTGATGTGTAAACCATATTTTATTGAGTTGTTTAACTTATTAGAAAACGTTCTCTAACCGTCAGCACTTTTTATTCCACCGATCATCATGCATTGACACATACGGAGTCTTAGAGCGAAGATTATTTCTATTCCAATTTATTTATATTTTTTACTTGGTTTGTGACTACTAAGGAGTATTAGTTACAAGTAATTATTTCGAGAAATCTTGACTAACTATAGTTCGTTACTCTGTAGGAAAGAATAATTCAACTTGGGCTTCCTCAGATCGTAGATTTCTTGGGAGCGTTCGAAGGGACTACATGCCCTTCCAGCCTCATTTTCGGCAGTTGATATGTTTTATGGTTTAAGTAAGAACCGTTGAACGGATTTTATCTGTTATACACGTTATGAGATTTTGATTTCTCAATCGCTATGGAAAGTTTATGTAAGTTAATTTTCTATACATATACCGAAAAATCATATAATCTAACTTCTGTGTTGTCAGTGTTATCATCTGGATAGATATCATTTGAATGTATTGAATGCCCTAATATTAGTAATAGTCTTATCTTTCATTTTGTTTACGGGCAGTTTGGCTGATATCACTTGAAAATAATGTGTACATGTAGTGGTTTTTTGCAAGCATATGTATTAAACATTTCAGTACTGCTCGCAGTATTTCATGTTATCCTGTTTACAAGAAGAAAATGTCAGAGAAGTACATTTGTTTATCATTTATGTTGACGAAAACGGAATATCAACTACGTCAATGCCATATCAATGTAGTCCTTTGTTTCCTTTGAAGTCGCAGAGTGAAAGTTCATCTAAGCAGCTTAAATTTAATGACCCATTATTGGGTGTATTTCTGAGATTGCCTCAGGTGTTTATTACTAATATTTATCTTCTTTCTTCTAGGTGGCCAATTAAAATATACTAGCTTTGAGTTATTAGTGATGGAATAAATCAAAAACATCATATGAAAGGAATAATCAACGCAGAACTCCAATGTATATATCTCAGGAATCTCGTACTAGATACTAATTATTTGTCCGTTTAATTGACGTGTATATGTCATATTATGCCATTTCCAGTTACATGAGATGCTGTTTTAAAAATAGGCAGAAATACCATCTCTTTAAACAGATTTATGAAAACAAATGGTACTACTCTAGTACTGGAAATTAAGTATGTTCAAGCTTGGACCTGTAAAAGTGATTTCGTTGAGTCCTAAGAATACTCAACTTAAATTTTAGGTATGGACTGCATGGATGGCATGGTTTTCGACTGAATTACAGGTATGCGACACTTAGTTCTCAGGTAACTGTATTGTAGCACGATTTGATACAATGCTAGCTGCTACAAATCAAGCCTCCTAACGTGCGGCTAAACGAATGAAGCGTTCCTTCTTTACCGATAATTATGTAGCAGGGACTTATGGTACGATGGTCTTAAATAAACATAGACGTTTTAAGTGGTAGCGTCTCCGATTAGCGATGAGTTTGGGTGAAAGTTGGATGTCATTCATTTCAGGTAGGTTTATTGGTTGCTAACGGATGTACTTAGTGACCAATTATAATTCACAACTGGTCGTGATTGTGAAGTGCAACTATTTTGAATCAACTTTAAATATGTAGTGCTCTGCAGTATATTGTTGCTGTAGTATAACAAGGAGCTATATGATGTGTCAGGTAGTAGACTTTTTGCAGTCATAAACGCTTCCAGAATAATGACGCTTCTGAACTGCGAGGTTTTCGGACTGTGAAATAAGTTGCTCGGAAGCGTTTTGAGATATATCCTCTCATGTGACCTTTGAATGTGCTACTGAGATGCGTTATTATGAGGTTGTGTTCGCTTAACTGGGTTGGTTTATCGTGGGGCTTCGTCGTCATTCTCGACATCATCAGCATAAACTTCAGAAAGAAGTGAGCGATAAGGTTCTCCACAATTTATTTAGTAGCCTGTCCTGATAGCCTCGTGCGTGGTTGGTTGTTTTTGCCAAGGTCTTGTCATTATCTCCATGTTCATTTTGATTAGTTGTCCTGATGACCTGAAGTTTGACCTTGTTTCTTATTGGTTGGTAGATTGGGTCAATGTCTGTTGATTGCTGACTGTCGTGAATACCGAGCTTCTAAAATTCCTGACATTCTTTGTATTTTCTTGATCCAGGATTTTTACACTTTCCCAGTTAAATCCATGTCCACAGTCGTCTGTATGGATTGATATGAGCGGAGGTATATTATGACGCTTCACTGCCAGTTGATGTTCATGTAGACGAATGCGAAGCAGAAGTAGTAATGCAGATTAAGCAGTCGAGTTCAGAGAACACAACCCTATCAAAATTGTCCTCCGTCATCATGAAATACGGCAATTTGAGTCTCTGTAGGTTGCAATCTTTGCAGTGAAAATCATCGCTTGCATATCGATCAAGGCAGCGCACTTCTTTAACTGCTAACGTTCGTACAATTATTGTAATTCCTCGGGGGTTTTTTGGATGCATTATGCAAAGATTGTACCCTTACAGGATTCGGAGATGTTTTTTAAAAAAAAGAGAACACTGCACCAAAAAGTTGGTAATGTTTGGCATTTTGGAACTGCAGTATAACACTCTATATATCTTTCCATAATCATATCTACCCTCTTTCACTACTGATTATATCGTGTGGTGACCAAACGTGCTGTACTACCACGGAGAGAGAATTACCTAAACGTTTTCCTGTTGTTACTGTCGGTCAAATTCTTACCTCGCTTTGTCGCTACTAATTTGCATTTGAAAGAGTGAACATTAAACTTACCTGTCAATTGTTTTATTACGTTTTATAAAGTTATATCTCTCGATTTCTTTATTTTAGACAACTGAGGTCAGCGTAAATGAGTCAAATCCATGTTTGAGCGAAGACTTCACAATGCGACGGGGTTTTGCTAGTCGGCTTTTGCTTTCTCTTAGAGTAGTCTATTCTCAGCTTAGCTATTGGTTGATGAATCCCGAACCACTTTGTTCAACGTCCACCAACAAATTCTGCACCGAGTTCTTTGTTTTCGCTTTTGGTGTTCCTCTTTGTGTCTCACTTAACTACCTGATATTGCCGTTATCTCTTTTGATTTCAATCTTCCTGCTATTGCTTGGTTTATGGTTTTGTTTTCGATTTCTAGAACACTTATTAGTTTATGCTTGCAATGAACCTCCGTCCTCCAAATTCTCATACATGAATCCATCGAATTTTGGATTTCCTACGTGGGAACTCGTAAAACTTCATCCTGATGGAAAAAATGGCCCAGTAGTCGTGGGTTTCTTTCTTCTTCAGCCAAGTTTGAGCCAACGGAAAACTTGTCCAGTTGTACTTCTTTTGCATGGAAATGCTGGAAACTCGACTGCTCGTTTGCCGATGTGTCAAGTTTTGGAAAATCGTTTTCATTGTAACATATTCATAATCGACTATCGAGGTTATGGTCAAAGCACTGGGAGGCCAAGTGAAGCCGGACTATATGCTGATGCTCAGTGTGCTGTCGATTATTTGTTTACGCGATGTGATATAAACAACCAGGAAATATTTGTGATAGGTCGGTCTTTGGGTGGAGCTTTGGCCGTTTATCTAGCTTCAAATCCTACATCAAGTAGGAAAATATGTGGTGTCATCATCGAAAATACATTTACTTCTATACCTGATACTGCAAGCCACATTTTGAATATACCATGGAGATTACCATCCAGGTTGTTCTCAAACCAATATTCGTCATTAATCAGGCTTCAGATTTGTGGTGAAACAAGAAAATCAGCCTCTCTTTTTCCACCTATGCTGTTAGTCTCAGGGAGTTGGACAAGATTATCCCACCTAAAATGATGTGGAAACTTGCTGAGGCGTATGAAAAAATACTAGCTGGACAACGTACACCGAGTGACTGTCATACGAAATGCAGCTCCCTTTCTCAAGACCCAAACACCTTCATTCTTTCGGGAACAGATGGTCTTGTTAGTTTTCCAGATGGTAATCATAACGATACATGGATTTGTAACCATTGGTCGGATGTTATATTACGTTTCATAGAGCAATCCAGCTTACGCGTTAAAAACGACTTTAATGAAAATGGATTCAACCTATGTGTATGATCTCTATGCGTTTCTTAATTTTTTATCCGAATATGACATTGTAATTTCTTTTTTCTTACGGGATTTTCAATATTTTCTTTTTCACAGATAATGAGACACGTTCTGGACATTGAGTTGGAACAATCTTTGTAGTACCCAAGTTTTTTCACATTACACTTGAGGTTCCTACTGACATCATTTTTATGTAAGAAATGATTCATAGTGCCGAAAATCCAAATACGCCCAGCGACAACATGCAGTGGACCACGTCTATTGCTTGATAGCTAATCAAACTACCTAGCGGGTCAGTTTACAGGTTATGGTTTCGAACGCGTGACCTATTAAATGGAAGTCGAATGCCCACACCAAATAGTCATAGCTCTAGCCTCTTCTGACTGGGTTACATATGCAATTATAGGATTATGGTATACCTTATTCCATCATGCACTCTTTTTTACAGAGATGCGTAAATCCAGGTTTGTAAACTAGTATGTAGCATCAACCTATTGTATGGGTTCTGACCAGATTACATTTCTAAAGCATATAAGAAATAAGTATGAAAACAAATGGTTCAGCGAAAAGACTTCGCTGTACAATCTCATTTATATAAAAAATTCTGGTTGAGTTTGTTTCATGTATGGAAGTGGTTAGTTAAGCATAGCAACAAGCAAGATGATATAAATATGAAAAACCAAAGTATCATTTTCGTCTAAATGTTTATGAATGTTGGGAAGTAGTCAAAAGGCATAATAACAGGCAAAGTTAAGTCATGACACAGAAATGCAGGTTTGCTTAGATTGAAGAGTATTGTCCAATGTAGCATAGAAATGAAGTAAAGATGATTAAGTTGAGTAATATGATAAAATATTTAATCAGTGAATTGTCATCAGGGTGCGTATAGAAACGAGGATAGTTGATAGTATGTAAAAACGGATGGGATGACGAGTTATTGGGGGAGGGCATTTTGAAACACTAGGGATCAGTGGTATGAAAGGAGCAAGGAGTGAACAAGTCTCTTTTACTTGCAGAGCTCCAGCTTTCCTATCTGAATTGGTAAGGCTTCAGCAATACAAAGGAGGCGGGTATGCGCCAAATCCGGAAAGTTACCTTCCACTTTAGAAGAGGTGATCGTTGAAATTGAACGGTGTGTCGACAAGATGTCCCGTTATCGCACTTCTCAAATATCCGCTGTAGCCGAGGTTGTTGTTTTTTTGAACCCTTCGGAACAGGAACCGTGATCAGTTAATATACCCAGCTCCACGGAAGCAGGTGGACTGCTTTACACAGAGGTAGCCAGAATGAAGATCTCGTCTTCCAGACCTTTGCTAAGTAGAGGGTAACTATGGGACATTACTATAATAATTGCTACAAGGTGTTCTCTTCAAGGAACTTGGATGTCTCATTAGGATGCTAGCAGCTAGATCACTATTGAAATTAGGATTGGTACATCACACACAATGGAACATCTTGTCTCTTCGCTGAATCATTTGTTCTCATTCCCTTAAAATTCTAAAACAGCCATGCTACTGTGGATGCAGCCCTGTTTTATCTTGAAAGTATCCGACAGACTGTCGAACATCTCTTTTTTGAAGTGCTACATTTTTTGCTTTTATTTCCCCAAAGTTGTTTGCCGACACAGTGGGCAATCTAGACGTCTTGTGCACCCCGATGATAGGTTGTTCAAATGTGTAACCTCTGTGATATTAGTATAGTGTGCGCGGTGCTTGTTTCCGGAGCTCGTTATGTAAATCTACACTTCCATTTTTAAATTTGTAGCAAATCATCGATATGAAAAGGAAAACATTTGGCAATTGAACATAAAGATATCACTGACTATGCGAGAGATCAACGTATATGGCATTTAATTGATTGATCTCCAGAAAAACTGGTTTCATATTCATTTCCGACCGAATTCTATCGACCAGTTTTGTAATGTAGCCACCAAGCTGAGGCTCAGCATCACGGTGCACATTGATAGGTGTTTGGAGGCTATTGACAGGAAACCTTGAACCTAGGTTTCGGAAACTGGTGCGCACATGAAACTACACTAGAGTATAGTGCGTTCGGTCTACTGCACCTAGATACAATGTGAAATGTCCTATGTATCCTACTTACAGTTCCCATAAAGAGCAACTAAACGGTACTGTATGACTCAAAACTGGCTATTCATCACGCTTCAAATAGAAAATAACTTTGAGGGTATAGGAAATCTAGCGTTGGCTGTAATCACTGGAGCTGCGTGAAATATATATTTAACTTCTGGAAGCGGTGATAGTTTAAATGCCGTACAGATTACGTTGGAGACTTGCTGTAATCAGCAGTGTTACTGAGATAAAATCTGGCGGATTAAAGGATGTAACTCATAGGTGCATATTGCACATAAATCAACAGCCTTCTTTCGACAAATTCAATATCTAATGGACCTTTAAAACGATTGTGATAACTTCTCGTAACTCTTCCATTCCTAATCAGCACATAGGGGAAATTACATTATTTGCCTCGTCGCAATAGCTCTTTCCTACTGTACTCCATCTGGCAATTGTAACGACATTCACAAGCTCTCAGCTACATGGTAATTTATAACTGGTTATTGGGAGATTTTATATCCACTTACACCAAAAGGATTAAGTTCCGTTAACTTGTTACGGATACCTCGTTGCTAAGGGTCTGGTAGGTAGTTGCTACCTTGATGTGATGGTCGGGCTTGCATATCACAATGACGCAGCGAGCTACGGTGTTGGGACGTTTATTCCTTGAGGTTTGTAGGATGGTGGTAAGACAAAGAAGTTACTCTCGCATAAACTGCTATGGTGGGTGTCCAAAGGCGTACTGCTAGCTCGAACGGGGTTCGATGGGAATAACGTGTTTTTCACAGCCAGAAATCCTGAGGCCGCTTTCCCTTTATCTCGTTCCTTGTCTTCACTTGATGATATCAGTATTCAGCCTCTTACAACTTCTTATGCTGAAACCATTGTTAACGGTCCAAGCATTTCTAAAAAGCATTCCTCATCTACTTGGACCCCGCTGTTGGTATCACAATGTAGCTCTCAAAGTTCGGACCCGGCACCAAATCGGACAAAAAGAATCCATCACCAGAACTCTGAAATCTCGAGCTATAGATGCATATTGTGTTCCTGAGACACACATACAGCATCCGAGTGTGGCTATTCACTCGACCAATGCAGTGAATTTTCAAAATCCGCATTACGAATGTCCGGAGACTCAATAACCAATTCTCGTTGGTGTAACAATAGCATTATGTTGCAGAGCGGAAAGTGTTTCTCTCTACTGAATACTAGTTAACAGCCGTCAGTACTTTCTGGGTGGATGGGAGAGTTGTGGGGCTTGTCGATGCCTATTCATAATCTCTGCCTACACGCCAACTGACTGTGGTTCAGTCGATGTATTCTTACATTTGGGTATTTTCCCTAACCTTCACCCTCTATACACCCTTGTTTACTTTGATATTAGTCTTTTTCTATTCACTTGTTCTTTGCATGGTGTTTTGCAGTGCGGCAACTTGGACTAATGCACTTATGTGCGGGGCTCCACGTTGATTTTGTCTCAGCGTTTAGAAGGATGGTGGTCGCGAAACATGACGTCAAAGAAAATCTTGTATTTGTGAACATAAAAAAGTGGGATATGATGTAAGAAAATATTTTATACAAGAGTTATTCCTTTTGTGGTGGTGAGACCAGAATAACACCATCACCTCGAATGAAAAGCATGGGTATTGTGCGCTTTGTTGTCTAAAATACAAGTATTATATTTAATAATTAATTGAGTTACCTTGTAAACTTCTTCATACGTTTCTTCATCTATTTCTAATGTAGTTACCGTTTCTTCTACATTTCCCAAGATCATGTTTAGATGCGAGTCAAAAGCCTGTAACAAGACAGTATATGTTCACAGTTAATTTTTTTTGAAGTTTAAAAGTCAAAATATGTATAAATAAGCATGAATTACAAACCTGTAGCAAAATTTAGACACCGTTCATTAAGACATCTAAGTTTCGGAAAAAAAAGTAGATGCATCCAAAACCGTTTACGTTATGTTACCTATAGTTTTAGCCCTTAACGTCTTGAAGATACAGTGCTGAAAGCTTCAGTTCATCTAGAAATTAATTTATGAGCTAGCATTGTTTTTCCCCCAGCTTATCTTAGCTTTCCTACATTTTGATCCCGCTTCTGGTGGGATTATACAACAATGCGAGGGGTTGCTATGTATATAGCACACTTCAGCTAGTTAAGTTGGTTCAGAGGTATCATATGAATAACTTTATATTGATTCCACCAGGACTCTATGGATACAAAAAATGAGTCATACTACTACTACTACTACAAGGTAGTAACTGATAGGTGAAGTGTCAAGGGCTCATGTGCTTCAAACATCGCACAAATCTTTCTGAATCGTCACTTAACCTTTTTAATTTTGTCCTTTCTTTCATCCTTAATAGCTTATTCTATCAATAAAATTATTGGTACTACAATTTACGGCACTCTCTACTTTATGTTAACTATTAACAATTCCAGTCAGCGGAGCAGTATCTATAGTTTTGCAGAACCACAACACCTAAACCATATGCCAAACTACTGGCGCTCAAGGTCACGAATGTGTGTTGTGCTTCCAAAAAGTTCATGTGGAAAAAACATCCTGTGATGATTTGTGACCATTCAACCATACATTTGACTTATGCTTTTAGAAGTAGAAGATATAAATCGATTACATACTTGTGACCACAGGTGTTTCTATAGCGCTGCTTTCTTGCAGTGCAATTACTGTAAGCAATTTCCAGGTTAGACAAAGAATACTATGCAAGGAAACCAAGTCAGTCGATGAGACTGTGAACCTCTAATGATTGAGATAATTCGGACATGTGTTGCGCATGCATAGCCACCGCCTACCTCAATATGCCATCCTAGCTGCGGTAGGTTTAGGTTAGAAGAAAGATTAGGGTAGCCAGAGCACGACGCAGTATCGGTCTCTTGAACCTCTGACTGCTGATGTAAACCGTTTCCGGTGACAGACGAACAAAATTAACGTAGAACTTCGCACACAAGTGCATCAGTTCAGGTTACCACACTGCAAAACACCATGCAGAGAACAAGTGGATAGAAAAAGGTGCACAGGGGGTGGTGGAGGTTTAAAACCGAGGTTAGTAAGGTATCAGAGGTCTAAAATACATTAAGGAGTGCATGGAGCTTCGCAATTTCGACTGATTTTCAGCCATATCATTGAGGGTCTTCAACCATTGATTCCTATCTTCTTGAGGATCCAGCCAGATGGTCAACACCTCCCTACACAATTCAAACTAACGGTCAGAGACTTCATGAACTAGTGCAATGTCTTGGTCTGGCCGTCCTGAGTCTTCTTTCAACTTAATCCAAATCTAGTTAATTTTGCACGTCGATGTAGGCGATGACTTGGTATGCCTAACACATCTCCAAGCCTGTGGTACAGAACCTGAGGGAGGGTGAAGATTTGATGGATGAACTCTCATTCAGGCGAGAAACTTGCATGATGTTTTAGAACTTTCTGTTCTTGAGCTAGATGTCGTATAACTTGGATGCGATCTTAGTTTAACTCGCTTATGGTTTACACGAAGACCTCTTCTTTCTAATAAGCTGCAATGGTCAGTGAAGTAGACCAGTTTAACGAGATTACCTCTGGTCCTCATAAACTACCTAGTACCTCTGTTACTCTAATCGGTAATTTCTTAACTCCATTCTTAAAAACTTCGGGGGGTGGGTGAGCCGTTAAATACCGCTGCTTTGCATCGTTTCATGTTGGAAACAGCCTCTTCAACTATGGGTACAGTTGGAGGATTGAAGTGTAGACTGCTTGCTTAAGGTCTTTGATACAACAGGAAGGAACGGTTGATGACAAGACCAAGAATCGATCACCATGCTTCAGTATATTAACACTGGCATTTTCAGTAGGTTTTATCAATTACTTTTCTCGTTTTATATGTTTGGTTGCTTTGATTTAATTCTTTCTAAGCCTGGTTATTCTTTACATGATGTTGTATAGTGTGTTAACTTTAACCAGAGCACTTCTATGAGATTCTCCATTGATCTGTTTGTCTGTTTCTGCACGATGTACCATGTTCATGCATGTCAACAAACAACGCTTGACTATTCGCTTATATGCCTTACTTGGATAATTGTAAGTATTGGAAAAAATGAAGAAACACAACTTCTTGGTACAAGAACAACATAGTTTTCATCTCAGATGCTTATGTCTAAATAAATCAGTTTTATCAAAAGAATAGGTAGAAGCTATAGAAAACTGACTGCCCGTTGACGCGGTATTTTACAAGACTCAATCCTGACTTGCTGAAGAAGCTCAATGGTTTTAAAATAGATATTCAAATGCAAGCAGCTTGACGACCACCTATACGATGAGGCAAGGAGTGTTAGTGAGTAAAGTACTCTCTTCACCGGTTACCAGCGGGGTTGTGGAGAACACTATAAAACGTCTATTTCTACTTTATATTACTGAAAAACAATAGATGTTGCTGTCATCTTTGCCATTCGCAGATGACGTTTCTACGGCTATTCACAGTACTGAAGATAATTAAGCACTCTAGAGTGATTTAGATGAAATAACCGAATGGTCTATACGCTGGGATTTTTAAGTCGATTCCAGTAAGAGTGCAGTGATGCACATCATCCAACAACTTAACTATCATTATTCGATGGGTTGGATGATGTACACTGTCTGGCTAGGGGTCCCCGAGACAACAGGAATCAGTGGCTTAGAACTTTCGGCGATATGGCCAGAATTCGATCACAGTAGCGCCGATGTGTTTAGTTTTCGACATTTTCTAAAGCCTGAATATTTGCACCAGCTGTTATCTTCAAGTTGTTTATCCTCACATAACTTTGTCTACTTTGATATCATTTTTCCTATCCCTCTGTTCTATACTACTGTGAAGTATGGCAACTCGAGCCCAAGCACTTGTGTGAGAGGTTCGTCTGTCCGGTGCGTAGATTAACACTGCCTTGAGTGAGAAAATAATATCATTTTTCCTACTCACAAATTGAAGACAACACTTTATCGTAACACAGCTACAACTGAAGTATTTTGAGTAGTGTGTTCACTTTGCTGGGACTTAAAGTGGTTTTATGAGGGAATATTTAAGATACTATATCCCACTTATGTTAAACCTCATTTTAAGTATTCCACACCGCTGCCCTTCACCTGAAGGAAGCAGACACTGTGGAACGGATGAAGAGCATAAATATTAAGTCAGTGGCAGAACTTTCTCACCTTTAAAACGAGCGGTTGAAAATACTGAATCTGTCTCCATCATATTTCAAGGAAACAGGTAATCTTATTTTGACGTATCGCATCTTAAATAATGACTTTGGTGTTATCCTCCCCATTATTCATAGGAATAGTTGTGCAATAAAGAATCTTGAAAGTTTTTTTTCATAACCCTTACGAGGGCTGCAGGACCGTCAATCCCTGTTATTCCACAAGAAACAGTGTTTTTATGCTTCTCAAATATCCCCAGTCTTCCCCAAAATGGTATGTTATGGTCACCGAATACACATATATCTGCTGATCACATGACGAGCGTATCGCATGACAGTTTACTTCATTATATCGTACGGTTGATATAACCGGGGGTGTACATGAAGTTTATATGCATTTATGTTTGGCCATGGCCAAACCTTCCCCGCTGACAAACACTTTGTGCGCACTTTGAAGTATTCGGACAGTGAAAGACAGAAAATACTAAGGGTTTACTGCAGATAATGTACCCCTTTGACCAAAAAATGTCGAGACTCTTTCCTTAAATTTCCAAAACTGTCAGTCAGCCCAAAGTTTAGTGGAAAGTTAAAATTGAGAAAAAGGTTGAAGTGTGTAGCCTAAGAAATCAAGAAAAGGTCGAACAATGAAGCCTTAAGACTTATAGAATAGGAGACCTGTGTGTCTACGTAAGAATGGCGTCCTGAATAATAAAGACATTCACCATACCTCGAATTAGTGGGTATACGCAAACTATGAAAATGTGGTATGATCAGTACAAAAAACGGGTATCAAAAAGTAAAAAATGAGGGTGAAAATCATACAACAACTGTATAAACTGCATGAGCACTAATAAATTATGCTTACATGCAATACACCACGCAACTCCCTGTTACGTTTCATTTTCACGTATATCTTTTCGTCTAAACTCAACCTTACTAAGTCAAGCGGTTCTTCAACGAGCACAAGCTGTTCTACCTATTCAGTGAAATAAACAGACTATATTGCTAAGAAGTACCTCATCGTCTTCCCGATTATTGCTGCTTTCCATGTCCTTGGGTTGACCCCCGCGCCAGCTCAATACCCAATGGTGCAAATGGTTGTTGACACTAGAAGGACCTCTTGCCTAACTAGCTTCCACATCCAGAATCTGTGGTTCAATAGTTTCTGTGATTGTTAACCGCCATACGAGTAAAGAGCGGGCAAACAGTCTCAGTTAAAATTTGAAAACTAATTTCTGAACAGATATCACTCATCACTCAGGTAAGTTTCAATCCAACCCAATATTTTCCTACCAGCTTGTGGGAAAGTTGGTTCTACCTTCCCACTCTTACACATTTCTCGTGATGCACACTGGAGGCAGTCGTTAGAGCAACTTCAAGGTTTGAGGCTTATGCGGTTGACCTTGCAACTTGTAGTCGTTTAGCCATTTCTGGACTACTTACGGTTGTGACTGTACATGGAGTGTCACTGACTCTCTTGTCATTTGGACCGTGACTCGGGAGGGGGGGGGGGCTGAGATCTGAGTAGTCACTTCTGTGCCTTTTATAGGTTCAGTGATTGAACCTGTGGCTAGGAGTGATTTCATTCGGCACTGTGGCCGGATGTACCGTAACCACTTGAGCAAATGCGTAGTATTGGTCTGATACATCTTTATCAAATCAACAGTGTAGCCACTCGTACCATACGTAATACTCATGTCATGGGAAGATGCAGGAGTGTGATGTACTACATAAAGGTGGGTCACGAGAAATAGATGAGACAAAAGATACAGATGAAACACAGAAAAGCCAACCAACCAGACGATCCCACCACTGGATACGTTTAATTTATCAGCGATGGTGAAAAAACGGAAAGTAATGCCAATATGTCCAGAAGATAAACGGGTGGGAGGCGATTTCAGACAGTTCGTTCTTAAGTGAGTCTCACAAAGCGAATGTATTGATGATGTTTTTCGCAGAAAGAGGTGTCGGAAAGCCCGAGTTTTGCATAAAATATTGTAACTGATCTGGGCACTTTTTAACTCTTCATTTTAGGACCATTTTTACGACATAACTAGTAGTTTATTCTCCGTCCCTATTTTAATGCAATTAGCCGACTGTTTAACCCGTGCTCTTCCTATGTTAATGGCTCAATTTTCTGACAGGGCCATATTTCATGTGTGTACATACTAGCGTATTTTTTTTGAATTATTTGATCATTATTCTTGGAGGAATAAACTTTTCCATCCAGCTTCCGTCTTACATATTCGTCCTGGGTTGCAATCAGTGGCTCTTCTGTACGAAGTTAGCTGTCACTTAAGCGTCCATTAGAAATATACAACAGTAGCGACGGAAATGGAATATTGGGAAATTGGCTCTTAGAAGCTGGACGGTTGCCTCGAACAGCAAATGAGGATTTTCGATATACTTAAGCCATCTAAAACTCTTAGTACTGAGGCGTCCCCTACTACGCCGGTTTTGATAGCTCCTTCAGGTGATAGCCAATATTATTACTGAATTTTACTATGACCCAGGTGCCATTAAGACTTTCGATGGTTGGTTCAGGCGCCACGAAGGCTACTTGAAGCTGGATTTTGCTGGCCGAAATGATTCCTAGAAGGCATCTTTCTTAATTCGAAAGCTTGTTCCACCTGAGCTGGACCAATACCGCGGCCTCATTTCGCCACAAAACCCACGTGAACGCACTTTTGACGCCACAGTCCAGACACTGAATGATGTGTCTGCAGAACGGCGAAGGCTGAAGCGTGATACGAGTTTAGTTAGATCCGGACACCAGGGCAGTCCTGAAGTGCATACAGTTTGCCAGACATTTCAGTCTTCCGCATCACCCTCTGATCACACACTCCCTGGCCTTATCCCGCTTGTTCATTGGCCCAGCAACTCATGCGGTATCAACCAACCCTCGAAGACGACAACTCCGTAGCCTTGCTGGCATTGTGGTACCTGACATTCCGTCAAACCTTGCCCACCTGAACAACACTGATGCCGGGACAATAATCCTGAGGACCACAAGATCGGTTTTCGCCGTCAACATTCAAGGCAATGTGTTCAAAGGTCATCTTCCAGATGCCACTGCAGATACCGTCCTCGGTGTTTATGTGAATCTCTCGGCTCGATGGCTGATTGTCATGCTTATGCACCTGACAGCCGAAAGACCGTCAAGAAGACTACTGATCCGTCGGTAAACAAGGAGTAACTTCCTCTGTGTCAATCAGATAGATGCAGGAACGGGACAGTATGGCCGATTCTGATCCGAAATAACGTTCTTTTGAAGAAGTAGGTGATATGGGGATAGTGAGAAAGGCCTAGTCTGGAGAGCGAACAATCAAAAAGTATTTTGTGTCATCATGTCTAGAGTTAGGCAGACGGACAGTAGGTCAGCCAATCAATATTTTTTAAACGGCGAACTATCTGTATATTTGATATATTTTCCTTTCCTTTCTTCGATCTTTCGAGGCCACTGTGCTTTTCTACGCATACATCTTGTCTTTCCCGTTGATTAGTCGGGTCGGGAACCAACTTGGAATTTGTTGAAATTGGTAGCTGACAGTCGATATCCGTGCATCTTTAGCGGCCACAGCACATAGCAGCTCCCGAACCGTCACGATTCCCTTTGGCCGTAGTGACTCCGATCGTCACCACGCCCAAAGGGGCTTAGCTCGGAGGTTTCATTCTCCCTTTCTGTTGTCCCCTCCCAGTAGCTTTCGCCGGCCGGATAGGAATCAGGCTATCAGTGAAATATGCTCTTCACCGTAAGACGGCAGGTGGGTTCTGAGTGTTTTATGGGACAGGAATCCGATTTCACACGGGGGTCGGCGTGTGTAACCGTTCTACTGGGGTTAAACCGTAGTCCTTTGAGCCGGCTCTACGCCTCTTTCCTTCGGCCCTCGCCACTATCGATAGAAGAGTGCCCAGTAACTGAGAAGAGATTTCTTTCGATACGCTTTAGGGACGCTACTTAGCTAAATCGTCGCTGCTACTTATTTCAATAGGTAGGTAGGATCAAAAGCCAGATAAAATGCTTAAGTCAAGTGGAAGGCAGAAAATCTGTGGTGGTAAAGGTAAGTTGTCAACCCTGCCTTCTGTAGTCCGGCTGTACGACTCAGCAAAATGCTAAAGGCTGTCCACAAGTTCAAGATACTTGATCGAGTGAGGCAAACAAGGCTGTGAGTACAGCGACCCCAGCCGCAGCAGTTGGCCGGGATAGACAAACTCACCGAGCAGTTGTCCGTTTGGTGAACGATGGAAGTGACCATTTGGGGATTTTACGTTCCACAGACAAACTATTGCGGAAATGTTGGTTTTGGAGATGAGGGCTCCGACTGGATAGGCTTAAATGTGTCTACTTCCGAGAAGAACAGAGACGAGGAGAAACCAGCCAGCGCCTAAAGAAGTCGGATGAAGTAGCCTAGATCAGTCCTGCCAGAAGAGCATCCCAGGGTTTAACAACTCTTCGGGAATAGAAGCTGTATCTCATCACTAAGTTGACATGCTTTGGACCCAGCCTCCTTATGTGTCTTGTAAGGTCGGTGCCACAATTACGATTCATTGAGCAACGCAATGGTTGTCCTGGAGTAATAAGGATGCTGTGAGCCATTAAGAGTCCTTCCTTAGTTTTCCTTGTTCCATAGGATATATATAAAGCACAACCAGCGTTCTTGGTATGTTTTAGGTCTAAGCCCTCGAAAATATTTAGTCGGCCACTACTGGCTTCGTTAGAAGCCTAACTTGTCCTTCTCCAGAGGAGGAAAGACCATGGTCCGGAACCCTAGGTGAAGCCATGTGAGTCTGCTAAAATTGTGGTGAAAACATCTGCGATCGAACTGCCTGAGAATTTGCCTGAGGGTTACCAACACCGGTTTTCTACTAAATGACTATCTTTCGCAGCTGGTGTAGGATTTTAGGCCTCAGGTGGCCAAGGCGACCAACTTCTCCGTCTCCAACCCTCCAAGTTCCATACCGTCAGGGCCGTATACACGACATGCATAATTTCTTCCGTGTGCGACAGTGCACTTTTCAGGGCTAAGTGTGAGCTCATTGTTGAATACCCAGTTTTTAAGCTGATTAAAGCTTCATCTAGTACCGCTTTCGGTCCATAGTTTTACGTTATCGGAAAAAGGAAGGGTTTCAGAAGAAACCTGTCTAAGCAAGCCATTTAGGTATACTGGAAAAGAGGGAAGCCTTAGTGCTGAACGCCAGGAAATCGCCCAGGATGTTCTATCCCTTTTGCAAAGAGAAACTCACTCGGACTCTAAGTGGACGACCTCGTGGACAGGAAGCAAACCGGTCAGTAAGCTGCGGTCCGGATCCAACTGACCTTGCTTAATCAATAAGGCGGTCGTGATTGACGCGACCAACCATTCCAGTGAAATGTAGATGTATAGCACAACTTCGGCCCAGACGGTCGACAGTGCTAGTCTGCCCGTCTACTGCAGTGAGCGATTTGGTATTATGGGATACCCTTTTCTAAATCCACGTGAAAAAGTTGATCAATGTGAGGTGTTCCTTCGGTCCACCGACGATTAAGTATTCCATTACCTTGGGAGGAGTGGGCTACAACATCACCGGTTTGCAATTCTTCCAGCCACTTCGTTGGCTTCCTTTGAAGATTGGCGCTGTGTAGCTTAACCTTCGAGGGTTGGGCACTTTCCCTTGACTTAGAGAATCCTTAAATAACCTGCTTTAAGGGTCACCGAAGACCGGTAATTCTTCCTGTAGTACCGCCAATTGGATTTTATCTGGCCTGGCAGTGTCTTTCATGAGCGGTTATGGCTTGCGCTGCACTAACTCAACATCTAAGTCAGCGATCGAGTGATCTGCTTTCTTGGTGGTATATTCGTAGGGCTCTGAGTGGGTCATCGATGGCGGAGAAAGTTACAAATACTGATCAGCCAGGAGTTCGTCTGCCACACTGTCACTTCTAGCCAGTTGGTCGGGCTATAAATACTCCTACTTTAATCCCTGGAGTGAAACGGCATATCCGAGCAGACCCTGCGCGCTAGAAACAAGGATATTGTGAGCCTAATTTGTTGTCCCACCAACCGACTTCCAATGCTTTTGCGCAAGTGGTTC